GCACAGGATCTTCAACAATAGTCATCACTGCACTGGGACCAGGAAGAAATGTGAGTTAATGGGCATGGTGGAAAGTTGAATTTTAAAAACGACTCTGAGCAAACTCCTAAAAGGCAAGAAGCTTCTGTGGCCAGCGGTTAGAATGCAGAACAAATGAGTCCAAGGTCAAAAGCTCAAGCCCCATAAGTGCTGGCTGTCTTCTTAGCTCCATTTTTTTGGAAGGTTGATTCTACCTAACTCACAGTACCCCCAGCGTCAACCAGGTGTCCCACAGATGTGCTCTCTGAACTGCAGAAGGGGGACTGATGGGCCCGAGTGTGGGAACGGGCAGGCTCCAATCCATCACCAAGACTGGGAAAACAACTGCGACGGGATGCTCCACTGATGGTGTATGAGACACATCACCTGTGTCCATGGAAGACAGTGTTTTACACACACACACACAGACACACACACACATTCATTCATCAAGGCAGTGAGATGTCTCATGTGATGGCCACACAGAAACAGGAGCAGGCGAAAGAGACCAAGATTGGCTGTTCACAAAACGATTCCCTCTTCATTCATTCAACAAGTACTTGTATGAAAGGCCTGTGATGTGATGGGCACAGGTGTAGGTGCTGGAGACAGCAGTGAGACATGAGAATGTCTACCCTCGCGGCGTTATGTTCTAGCAGAAGACAGAAAATAAATGGGGACAACCGACAGTCTGTCAAGATGTGAAAAGTCCTGAGGAAAAAACAAAAAACCCTGAGGCTGTCCACCGGGATAGGGAGTGTTGGGGGGAAAATGGTAAAGAAAGATGATCAGGAAAGGCTTCACTGAGACAGCGACATGTGAGCAGAGAACCTGCAGGAGGAGAGGAGAAGCAAATTCTACAGCTCTCTGGGCAAGGGCATGCCCCAAGCCTTAAAAGGGCAAGACCCTGCAAAGGGTCGGATTGGGAGGGGGCATGCTCAAGTGACCCCAAGGAAGAGTGGAGGTCAGAAAGACGGCGGCCCCAGTGCAGGTCATGTGGGTCCACAAAGACCATAGGAAGGACTCTGGCTTTGATGGAATAAGATGGGAAAGCATCTGAAAACACATAACTTGATGAGATTTTGCTTTAAAAAATATATATCACTTTGGCTGCTGTGTTGAGAAAAGACTGTAGGGGACACAGACCAAAGGTGGGAGACTAGCTGGGAGGCTAGCCTGGCAGATCCCCCAGCAGGCAGGTGGAGACAGGGGTTTGGCCAGTGCGAGGGCCACTGAAGTAGAAGACCTGGAAGGGGTCTGCATGCTCTCTGCAGGTGGGGCCAACAACATGGCGGTGAGAACAGGTGAAGACATCAGAGAGAGGACAGTCAAGGATAGCTCTTGAGTTTTTTGGCCTACGCAACTCAGAGGCTAGAACTGCCATTTACCAAGATGGAGAAGATGATAAGAAAGGCATATGTGGAGGAGAAAGATCTGTGCTGAAGGGGTTATTTGGGAAAGATCAGAGTATTGATAGTTGTATATGACATTCTCCATTAGTGTAATTAGAATTACTCTAATAAAAAGGTTTTGCAAGCACTCATCTGCTTTGCAAGGCATGATACCCTACCCTTGTGTATAAACTATACTGTAATAGTCTCAGGCTAAGAAGTATCCTCAACTCCCTCCCCTGCTTGAGGTTTGTGTGGTATGACATCTTACTCACCCATTTCAAAGGGATTAAATGCCTCCCTGCCTTCCCTACCTTCCCATATCCCCAAGTGGCAGCTGTGTGGTTGCCAGTAGAGAAATAGCTCAGTTGCTCTTGCAGCACATTTTAAGGCAGAGGAGAAAAGCCTTCACTCTGGAATAGAAATCTCTCAGAGACAACTTGGCTCCAGGGCACCCCAAGAGAGTGGGGGACACTGGGAGGTCCCAACAGGAGGCTTCCAGGCTTCCCCTGGAGATGTGAACACCCAGGAACACTCTGGGAGGAGGGCGATGAACTTAAAGTGTGTGTGGAGGGCGGGAGGCAGTGCAGGGATTCGTGCAGACTTTCCTAGACTTTCTACTGCTGCAAATGGCAGATGCCTAATTAAAGCATTTGCAATTAGTTTGGCTTGTTCTGTGATTCCTTTCTGCAAACAAATATGATGGGAGAATATATTAGCTCTTGGCAATCTAGTTCTAAAAAAAACTTTTTCTCCCATCATTACTCTTTTGTCCTGCTCAGAAGAGAGCTGCAGCACTGTGTACACAACCTTAAGTATCTGACTTACCTCCTTGTCCAAAACAGTATTTTTCCTTCAATTTCATAAAGGAATGCAACTACCCATTTGCCTTTAAAAGCAGGAAGATTTATTCCGAATTTAATACAAGTTCTTAATTTGGGTGTCTTATTTGTATTCAATGATGATAACAGTCTTCCTAATTCTTGCCATCCTTCTGATTCAACACACTTGGCTGGTGATGTTATCCACCTCCTCGAAATGCAAATGCTATATTTTTTTAATGATGGGAAAAGCAGTCACTAGACTTTGAAAGAACTTGAGGGGTGTATGTTTGTGTGTGTGTGTGTCTGTGTGTGTAAATAAAGAGTTGCACTTACTGCCACTTTATTATAACCACTTACTTAAAGGCACAGATTTTTTTTTTTTCTTTTTCACTGCAGGGAAAAAAAACGTGCCCAGGTCCCCTTCAAGAGGAGACATGTGACCCATTTGGGACTGTTTCTTTCCTTTACTCATTCAACATTTTCTTGAGTTTCTAAACTGGTTCTTATGAAACTTTAACTTATTTAAACTTAGATGGTTTTATCCAATCAGTATACTCTGCAGGTAGCCCCTGAGATAATGATCTTAGGTGTCTGTTGAACATTAAATGCATTATGAGAGGGTGGCCCATCTCTAAAGGGTAATAACTGCAAAACAGAACACTTAGGGAAGATTGCCATCAAACAGTGTAAATAAGAAAAATGAACTAGGATGCCTAACACAGAAAAGGTTTAAATCTGATGGTTATTCATTTCTACTTTCAGATTGACTTGCAAAGCACCTCATTTAAGAAGGTCCTAAAACCAAAATAATAATAGAGAGTAGTGGTTACTCAAGAGTCAAATAAAAGTTACCATATAAGCAAGCATGGGTAAGCCAAATTCAAATAGTGCAATTATTTTTTAACAGATAGTTTAGGTTAATAGGTGGAGACACATAGTGTTGCCACTGTATTTAAGGTTAGGTTAATAATTAACTTTGATGCCTGGAGTAGTTTAATCAAAGCTTACTATAAAAACTGCTCCATGCAGACTAAACAGGGTATTAAAAAACCATACAAAATACTTGCAATCTTGACCTCTGTAGTCATTTGGAAAGGGTGTGAAAAAATCAGATGTTCCATTAAGAAATATGTACCAGCACATTTACTTTGGGGGAAAAAATATCTTAATAAAGATTCATATTATCTGGAACCAACAATCGTCTCACTGTCCTCAGAGTGGCAGTCTGTGGACTTAATGCCCAAGAGGTATGTGGAAAGAAGACCAGACAATTATCAGGATTAGAGAAGCGCAAGGCAAAAGCACTCGACCTTCCTACCCGGAAAGACTTAAGAGTCAGCGCTGGGGGGCATTAAATAGCTTTCCTGAGACCTGCTGGCAGGACACTGCCACTGGGTTAAAAGTCTTTTCAGATTGGAGGCAAAGAAAGTTGGGCGTACATGTGAGAGAGTCTGTGTCTGTATGTGTGTGTGTTCACACGCCTGTGTTTGCAACCTTTCATGGATCACACTCAGCTGCTACTTGATTTCATCCAGTCCAAGCAGAGCGCGATCCCAAGATCCCACCGTGATCGTCTCTGGTAACCACACTCACTAAACCGCTCTTCTCCCAAGGACCGACGCGGACTGGCCGGAGGGGCTGCTCCTTGCAATACAGGCAGGGGGAGGCCCCTCGGCAGTGCTTGCCCCGGCTGCGAAAACAGCGGGAGCTTCCGTGGCTCCACGCACACCTGACTCCCGGCTCTGCTCCTCGCTGAACACCCGCCGGCTGGAAAACGGCGAGCGGGGTGCAGGACCCTGGAGATGCTGCGCTTGGAGCCAGCGATCCCCGCCCGGTGTCCACAGGCACCCGCGCGCCAGCCTCTGTCCACAGTGGCTGCACCCAGCTTCCGAGTCCTGCTGGGAAACTTCCCCTTCTCGCCCCTCCCCACGCCCACCCCTTGTTCGACTGCTTGAGAGACCAGTCCAGCAAGTGATGCACCGCGACCCCAACCAAGCTGACCATCCGTCTGGGTGCCACTCTCCGAGGGGCTGGCTCCTGGCTCCCGCCTCCTAGCCATTAACCTGGGCGGTCTGTCCACCTTCCTGGGGGTTCGTTTTCCCGCGGGTTGCACGTGCTGAGCCCGAAATCGGTCGTGCACCCCCCCCCCCATCCCTGGCCTTCAGAGAAACTTTCCAGAAGTGCCTGGTCGAGTGACCCCGTGCAGGAAAAATAAAAAAAGAAAAAAAGAGGAGGAGACGCTGGGCGGAGGGGTGGCGGCGGCGAGGGAGCGGGAAAGACAGCGGAATCCTGTTTCCTTTCCCGATACCCACAAGTCTAGGACTGCTCCCTGGCTCCCCCTGTACCGTTCCGGTGTGGAAGGAGGGAACGGACTACGGGATCCTGCCATGCACCGTGTAATACGGTGGGAAGCCGAGGGAAAAAAAGCAGGGCATCTGAGGGAGGGGGGAAAGACACGTCCCATCTCAGCGGGGTCATGCAGACTGGGTGGGCGCTGTCGGGCTGGGTTGGCAGCGGAGCGCCCCACTGCCAGCGAGGCAGCGCTCTAGACGCAGCAAATAGTCCGGACAATCGAGAACCCCGGGCCCCTGCAGAGGTCTCGTCTGGTTAGCAAGTACTGAGCCATTTCTAGCCAGGTCTTCCCACCCTTCCCCCTCTGGGGACACCTCCTTTCCAAAGAGGGACCACGTAGTGTTTGGAAGAGGGCGCAGCGGGCGCCAGCCCCCGGCACGGGGCTCGGTGCCCGAGGGGGACGCAGACGCCACAGATGCTGTCTTCGCCGCCCAGGAGGGAGCTGCGGCGGGGAATAGGACCCAGGGCGGGGAAGCCGCGCCACCGGGAGGAGGCCACTCATTCGAGCGAACAAAGCCCGGAACCTCTGGTGCCCAGCGGCCGCGGGAGCCGGGATGTCACCAAGGCGCAGGGTGCGCGGGTGCCAGGCCCATTACAAGTTTCCCGCACTCCACTGAACCCAGCCCAGACCCCGCGCCGACAACAAAAGACTCCCTTTGCTTCCCCCACCCCCCAATCTCCCCGCGTCTGTGGAACCCCTCCTCCCACCTCGAACCCAAACCTAGTGTCGAGCGAAAACAGCGCTCTTGGACCGAACCTCCTCCAGCCCTCGAGGGTAGAACCCCTTCCCCCTGCCTTCGCACCAGGACAGGGCGCTTCCGAGAATCTCACCCTTTCTTGGCCTCTCTGCTGCCTGCTGGCCCGAAAGTGAGGACGAGCACCCAGGGGTACTGCACACACCTCCCAGGGCCAAGGAGCTATCCGCGCGGCTGGGGTCCCGGGCGGCGCCTGGCGTGTGCGCGACGCGAGTGGGGAAGCTCACAACGCGGAGCCCCGAGGTCTCTGGGGCGCAGGGCGGAGAGGAGCGGCGGACAGGGCTCGCCACTGCTCCCCCAGGGCCGGGCAACGCTCGGAAGACAGACGCAAGACAAAATAAAACGCAAGCACCACAAAGCCGAGACAGGGTGTGCGGACCGCGGCCCCGGGACCCGCAGGAGGGAGCGGAACCGCCCGGGAGGTGGGGCGCACCAGGGCGCCCCAGCCGTACCTTTTCGGTGCATCGACGGGCAGGCGGCCGGGGCTCGGAGCGGACTGGTACAGCGTGTATCCCATTTAGTAATCCATTATCGAGGGGATCTCTCCGGGCCGCGAGCTGCGCTCTCTGCTTCGCAAGCCTTTGTCATTCCTACATGGGTGCTTGTCTCCGTAGGGGTATAGTCGCAGCGACTACTTTCTGGGATGCAAACGCGCCGTATTCATTTCCAATGACAGGCGGAGAAGGGGAGATGAAAAAAGAAAGAAGAAAACCAACAAGAAAGGAGGAAATGTTCAAGAAACTCTTCTCCAAATCCAAATTCCACTTGGATTCCACTCCGGCGAGTCCCTTCGGTGGTGTTTGCGCCGATTAACAAGTCATTTCAGGGTGGGGGGCGGGGTGGGGGCTGGGGCAGGGGTGCGCTCTAGCCCCGCTCCACAACCGGGAGCGCTACGCCGCGGGTGTGGCGGTGCTGGCCGCTACCGCCGCTCCTAAGCGAGCATCGCGGGCGGTCGGCCCCGCGGAGAAGCGCTGCTGCTGCGTCCGGAGCGCCTGGGCAGCCGAGTGCGCGGGGAGCGGAGTTGGCTGCAGCCTCACCCCGTGCCGCTCACTACTCCTCTGTCACCGGAGAGGCCGCCGCTCCAGGGCGGAGCCAAGTCCCGGACTGGATTGCGCAAAGCGGACTCTCCTCCTGCAACCCCGCCTACTTTGGCTGGCGTCTTCTCCGACCCGAAGGAGGGCTGCGGTCTCTGTGTGTGAACCCGAGCGAGCGAGGCGGAGAGAGGGAGAAACTACGCGCTGTGGCCGCAGGTGGAGCCTCGGAGCGACTGGTCAGCACAGCTTCCTTCCACCAGTATTGCCCTCCCGCGGCGCGTTCGGCGGAGGTCCCCGCGGGGGCGACACCCGCAGAAGCCCAGCCTGTGCCTCCCCAACCCCCGCATTAGCTCTTGCGGGGGGAGGGGGGAATCTCGGACAGCATTGCCGAGCCCTGTCAAATCAAAAAAATAAATAAAAATAGACGTAGTGCAGGAGCAAGTTACAAGAAAGGATTTGTTCATCGATTTTTTTAAATGGAAAAGTTTTAAAGGATGAGGGTAAGTGAACGGCGAGCCTTTCTGATTACTATATCAAGAGGTAAATTCCAGAAGTGACGGACGCTCTGCGCACCCAGATGAGTTGGATAGAAACCGGTACACTTAAAAATACACTTCGACGATATGAACTCAGCTATTAGTTAACGTACATTCAACACACCTTAATAAAGCATGTTAAATAAGCAAATTAGTGTATGTGCTGCCGAAGCGAGCAAGTAAGCAAATTAACTATAGTGCAAGGAAGGCTGGTAGCGACGATCTGCTTTTAAACTTAGAAAGTAGGTACACTGTTCTTAGAAATAATTATGTAAACTTCAGAAATAACACACAATTCCAAAGAGTGTCCAACAGCTTCATGGAATAACTAAATCGCAACTTCTTCCAAGGCGCTTTTGTGTTACCATCACGAGGAGAATGGCAGACACAGCCTTCCTCGGTTCGCTTGAAAGTTCAGTAGCCCCAAAGTCCTGCAGTTACAAGGCTTGTGCCCACTGGGCAGACTACACGACGTCCCGTTGTTCCGGCCGTTGCGCGCTCCCTGCCTGCTGGCCGCAAAGACCGCAAAGGAGCACGTTACCCCCCCAAGGAGGGCTTCTCAATTGGTTGGCGCGGGCGGCCAAGCAGTTCTCCGACCAATATTTACTAGCTATGGGGTCGGCCGAGAAAAGCACTGGGAAGATCAGGGTCTCAGTCTCCCTTAGGCCGAGTTCCCTTAAATAAATGCATTAGAAATTGTACCTGTTCCCTGATTGGGGCTAGGATCACTAATAAGACCCCCCGCCCCCACCCTCCCCCTTTTTTTTTTGCCTTTCGTACAGGCAACTAAAATACGCACAAGCATGCTAATGAGGGCTCATGAAGCATAAAATAAGTGCACTCGTGACAACAGTATAGATACTGTCCTCAAACCATTTAGAAAAGGTGAGAAAAATGGTTTGAGGGAAAAAGGTCCGTCTCCCTGCTGTTCGCCAAAGATGCCAGCAGGGGCCGCTATCCCCACCTTTCGCAGGCAAAAGCCGCCAGAGGTCCGCGGTGGTGGGGGTGGGGTGCCGCGGCCGTAGGTGCGCGCGCAGCCCCCGCCGCGCTAGGCGCCAGCTCCAGGAGGGGCTGGGGCGTGGGGGCGTGGGGGCGGTGGGCTTGGCTGCGCGCTCCCGCAGCCCCGGTGGCGACTGGCTCGCGGACAACCCTTTCGAATCCGGTCCGGACCCGGGGGAAGGGGCCCGACTAGCCGAGACCGCTCGATTCTCTGCCGCGACTATTTAACTCCCACGATTTCGACGTTCAGTCCCGAGCTCGTCTGTGCGTCCCCAGCGCGGTCCCGCTTGTCTGGCCCAAGACGTCCCGGGGTTCTCCGCCGGGGGTTTCCATCCCGGCCGGGTCGCCGAGGCGCCTTCTTCCTTTTCTGTCCCTGGTTTACATGCTAATTGTGTCTGGGAAAAGTTCTTTAATTGGCAGAATGAGGCAGAGCAAACGAATTGTTTCACAGGCTGAACCAAATTAATTCCGGGTTTAGCTTCTTCCCTTGGAGAAACAAACAATTAAACTGCCTTGTTTGTTTTATGGATATATTGGAAATGCCCCACATCGACTTTCAAGATATGTTTTTAAAGGGAAATCATTTTCATTATTACTTGCATGTTTAATTTGCAGTAACGCTGAGCCAAGAAGCAAGAGATTAAATTTACGTAATTTAAAATTAGAGAATACAGGAAGAAAAGAATTTGAGTTAACTTTTTGCGTGGCTGAGAATTACCGCCCAGAATCTTCCTGGCAAGGACTAGATCTGAAGTCTCACCATCCAATTAGGCACCCGTCGTCCTGACCAGGTGAGATGACATTTCCACCTGCTCCCGGGGAGCTGGCAGAAAAGCCAGCTATTGTGTCGCTCCCGAAGCCCTCGGGGGAGCACCTGTGGGGAGCTGCCCGGAGAAACCTCATGACGTCATTTCCCCTTCTGAGCTCCGCGGACTGACTCCCAGAAGTCTGCCTTAACTTTTAAGTAAAACCGCTGCCCTTCCAGAGCCTTTGAAGTCTGCTGTCTACCCAGTCCCTTCAGGGAAAGAAAGTTAATGGGAGTTAAAGAATCACCAAGCGTTAGGACTAGAAGAAACCCAGGACTGTTTAGTAGTTAAGTGGCCTGAAGTGGAGTGGGAACAGCGTTAGTCTCGGGGCCGGCTGTTTTTAGGTAACTTACTAGCTGGTGGTGACCTTGGGGGCAGTCACTTACTTTTCTGGAGCAGCGTACTCAGTTGTTAATGAGGACTCCCTATGACTTTCCTCCCAGGGATTGTGTGAATTAAATGAGATGGAGAGTGTAAACCGCGGGGGTGTAGAGATAAAGGTTAACTAGCATCTATAAAGATTAACTAGCCTCATTGTCATCCTTGCCATCCTCCACTTCAAACCTCCCACCACCGTTTTACAGGGGTCAGACGGAGGCGGGGGAAAGAAGGGGCTTGCTTTGTGTCAGTGCTGGGAGCTAGCCCATCGTAACTCCTCTTCGGCGCTGAGAAGACCACGCCTGCTTTCCCCCACATCACCTGGAAAAAGGATGCTGGAGGAAGAGGAAATGAAAAGGTGAACTCACTCGGGATTCTTTTAAAGATCCCATCTAGCTCTTTGATCTGACCTCTGCTTTACCACTGGCCTCCCTGGTGGCTGAGTGCTAAATAACTCACCCGTCAATGTGGGAGTGGTGGTTTCCATCCCTGGGTCTGGCAAGATTCCCCTGAGGAGGAAATGGCAGCCCTCTCCAGTATTCTTGCCTGGGAAGTCCCACGAACAGAGGAGCCTGGCGGGCTACAGTCTGAGGGGTCACAAAAAGCACACAACTTAGCGACTGAACTACAGCAGCTTTACCGCAGAATGGGGTAGTGAATTTGGGGGAAAGGTCTGCTGCTGCTTACTTACCGCTCAACTCCATGTGGGTGTTTCTGGAAGTTACATGAGGAGTGCAGTTTGTACAAACAGGCCGTTATCACAAAGTGAAATTAGTATCATGAAGGGACGCTAGTGTCTTTGGTGCTTGTCAGACCATTCCTCCGTCTCCCCAGAACTCTCAGACCTTTGGAGGCTGTGCCCTGTGAATACGTCGGTACTATTGTCCACAGACCTTGTTTTACCCCACTTTTTAAAGATTTTAGCACCAGGCTTGCTGTCCTCTTATCTGTCCCCCCAGCTGTCACCATTCATGGCAGTGTGAGCACCCACCTAACCACTCCTCTGCTTTCTCAGCTTTTTGCCTTCCTCATCTACTCTGTCCTTTGGTCTTCCTCCCCTCTACCTCCCACTCCAGGACTTCATTATTATCAGAAAAGGCTCCAGGTTCTAAATCACTAATTCTGACATCCTCTCTTTTAAGTCACAGTGGACTCTCCTTCCAGCTTACTTGCCCACGCACCTCCCCACACTCACCCTAATTGCAGGAAGCCTTCTGCCATTCTTTCCATCCATCCAGTCCCTGCTTCTTTCATTCCCCTCTGTGTCCAGGAGGGCTTCATAATAACTGTCTCTCTGGTGAATGCTTTCAACTCGGTGACTCCTCTTTCTTTTGGTCACACCCATCTGAGGGAAAACCAGTCCTAAATTACAGAAATACCTTCCTTCTCTGCTCTTGCATCTGGCAGCTAAAACCTACTAGAAAAACATTTCAAGCACATGTCTAAGCAGTCTGTACGCTCTGTCGTGAACCTGACTTGCTTCGTGAACCTGCTTCATCATCATCTTCCCTTTCTTTGAGTTAGTCTGTAACTTTATCCCCTAATTGGATAGTTCACCCTCTGTGTCTTCTACTTCCCTGAAAAAGAGTCCATTGTGTGGGTACTTCTTGCTTCTATACTTATCATTTCCTGCTTATCTCCTCTTAGGGTGGAGGCAGTTCCCTCCTCCAATCTGAAGCCAAACCCTCCACCTGTTTTCAGATCATTTACACAGTCTCAGAAATTCTGCCCCGCTGTCTCCATCTCTTTTGCATCTCCCCAGCTGCTTGTAAATAGGCTTTAGTCTCTCTCATCTTAGAAACAAGCCTGCCTGGGGTCTTCTGTGCTTTTCAGTATTCTCTCCTCTCTTCCAAAGATGAAGGATTGTTGATGATCACTGTTGCCACTGTCTTCTCTCTCATTTGTCCTTCCTGTCTGGCTTCTATTCCCAGCACTCCATTGCCATGACATTAAATCCAGTGGACATTTTAAAGTTTTCATTGTATTTGAAGTCTTAGCAGCCATGCATACCACCACTCCTTCCTTTGGGAAATAGCCTTTGCTCTCTCCTGGTTCTCCTCCTTGCCTCTCTCCTTTTTTTTTTTTAACTTTTGAGGCCATTGAAAGATACAGAAAATTTTGAGGAATAATAAAACATTCCAGTTTTTACCATCCCAGAATTAGCAACTGTTCATATTCTTTCATATTTGTTTCTTGTCTTTATGGCAAGGAATAAAACATGGTGTATAAAGCTTAGCATCCATAGAATCAACACTGTCTTTCCACTTCTTCATATTACTCATGGTCTTGAGTTTCCTGTGCATGTTTAGAGTTCCTTTTCTATACTTATATATAGATCATATGTACCCAGAACCAATATATAGAGAAATATTTTTGGTGGGGCTTTCCCCCAAATTAACACAAATAATATCCTATTCACTCTTCTCCTCCACATTGTAGCTAAAGC